TTGTTTGTGCTTGCTAGAATAGCAATGAAAAGATCTTTTATTATAGTGAGCTTTATTTTTGTGTTAGTGTTGCTGTTTGCAGTGTAAAAGTTAGTTGTCAGCACTTGCATTTGTAAATCTCTTTTTAAGGGCTGATTACTCTGGGCTGAAAGTTGGCAGGCAAGATCTCAGCCCTAGAGCATTGTTTGGGGTTTTGCATGTTTTTAAATAACAGATCTATCTGACTGGTGTGATTGAGAGAATGCATGCAGCTACTCATCCTCTTGTAACACTAGACAGCAAAACAGACTGCCTAAAAGCACACTTTGAATATGAATTAGGAAAATTAGATGACCAGTAATGAGAATGGGGGTTACGTGTGGGAGGTCTGGGGGGGCTTAGTAGGGGCAGTAGTGATTTTTGTTGGCTATATAACAATCAAGTACCTGTCTCTTCCAGGTGTTTGCAAGGTTGTGGTGTATGTGGATACAGTGTGTACATCAATATCTTCAGACAGTTGAACGTTAACTCTGCCGGTACTAGAAGGTACCTAAACCTGAACTAAAATGCAGTGTAAAGGTTAGCCTGATGCTGGCACCACAGTAACAAGCACGTGTTGCTTTTGGATGAGAGCGGTCCCAGCTCTGCTTGGCTTGGCACCCAGACCGGAGTGATCATGTGGTTGTGTGCACTTATCTGTATAGTCATCCTGTGGACCATTGCTGGTATGTATCTGGTTTCTTCTGAAATGATGGAATTCCTATAGTAAGATGAATTTGAAAATATTTGCTGGTAAAGAACCATGTTGTCAACTTTAAAAAAGCAAATAAACAAAGAACAAAAAAAAACACCCCACAACTTCTTATTTGGGAAGATGGTTGTGGATGTTGTAGAGGGAAACCAGTATGCTGAAACATGTGCTACCTGTGTCACTTGGTCAGGTGGCCTCAGTCCCTCCTGAGAATATTCTTGTAACTCTTCAGATTAACTGCTGCTGACCAGGTGCCCACAGGGACAGATCTGTACAAGTATGAGTGAAAACTGATTGCTCCCATCCTCCTTGTGCTAGTGAGAGAAGAACTGTACTAAGATGCTCTTCCTCTTCCTGTTGAAATTACTGGTTTAGCAGGCTGAGCAGTGTACTACAGGTTTGGGGACAGTAAGGACTTAATGTGTCTGAGTGTTGTACGGTTTCTAAAGACACATGGTTTTACCTGTATTTTAAATTTCTGGGGGATAAATGTCTTGTCTACTTACCAAGTTTGAACTGCTTCTGATAAGCTTCAGTAAAATCCACGTGGTTTCCCTTGGATTAGGTACGTCTGGAAGTCAGTACTTGCATGTCTCGAGAGTAACTTTGTTCTTGACATAATATATCTGAAGTTGTTGAACTTGACTAATTGCTCGGTGATGGCCCAATGGCAAACCAGAAAGAAAAATAAAGATTTACCATATGCATTTGCAGAATTGAAATTATGTGATATTAAAAAATATATATATGATTTTGCACTTCTAAGCCAATTCATAAATGCAGGCCGTTCTGTAGACTGTGACTGGACATAATTTGTAGAAGATGTGGGTATTTGCTTCTTGTGACTCTGCTTACTGTAGACTAGAAATAGTGTTTAAAAGCTTATTTAAGAGATTGTGTGCTTCTGAAGGTTTTTCTTCCTGGTTTGGTTTTTTAATAACTTGAATGAAAAAAACCCCTTGCTGTTTACTTCAGACAGCTCAGTGTTCTACCATAGGTATTGCTATCTCTGTCCCAAATGGATCTGCTGACTTGCATTTTTCTCTTTTAAGTCTCCTATGTTTTGCAGCAGTGTGGATTTATGCAAAGATGTGGTTTTCCAATTCAGTATGTCTTTTAAAGTGGTGGGCAGGTTAACTCTCCAGTGACATGATAATTTTTGTTGCTGCGTTAAAATGCCATGTTTAACTCTCTCATTAATTTGACTATTAAAGCTGCATCAAAAGAGGATAAACTGTCTTGCAGACTGCCCATCCTGATCTGTAGTTTCTAGTGCCACCAGATACTGATTGTGGTTCCTGTAAATAAGCTTGTGTATGAAGATGTGTCAATAGTAATGAAAAACATGCTAAAACATCCTGTGAAGAGCCTTTAACATTTTGTGATTTTTATTGTTCCTCTCCCTGAAGTAAACAGTGCCTTTTCCAGAAATACTGTATTTTCTGACATGATAGCCATGGGAGCCTGCAGTCATAAGTGCAGTCATGAGTTTTACGGTTTAAGAGACTGGTAAGCGGCAGCTCTGCAGTGGAAAAGGTGATGATACTCACTTTAGAGTACAGCCCTGCACATGAAGTAAATTTGAAGTATATCACAACAGATGGGATTTTACAGCAGAGCACTTGACATCCTGGGGACTTATAGCTGTGTGACATACGAAATTAAGAGTATTGCAAAGGAAACCCATCCTGCATTTGGGGCTTTTGCCTATGTCCTGCCCATTTGCAGGAAGGCGATAGCTGGGAGTTGGTAAAAGTGTGGTACTTAGAAGGCAGGTTGAAGATCTTCTTTAAACAGCTTATAATAGCATCTCATTTGTTTTCAGAGCCGTTTTGATCCTTAAGGATCAAAATGCAACTTAAATATATGCATTTAGCACTGTAGCTATTAAAAATAATTTGTTTGCAAGGTAGAGTGAATTTAGTGTAGTATCGCAACAAATCTGTGTAACTAATGAGAATATGATTATTAGTCTGAGTAATCCAAACAAAGTTATGCAGAGGTTCAATCTAGACATAGCCTGTGATAAGGTGTCTTGTGTAACCTCATCTGAAGGACTTCTGAAAAGCAGAATGATGGGCTGGTCTGATTGCTGGTGGCTTGCCCAAGAAATTTAAAGTTGCAATGTGCGTGTTGCAGTCGTGTTATCTATGCAGTTGGCTAACAACTTGTCTACACTCAGCTGAAAATAATCATTTAGCTGAATATTTTGTGCTTGATCACCAGTCAGCAAATGCTTTGAAGGACATATGTGTAGTGGAACTATAATCGTGTTGTTGGAATCTTATGATCTTTGCTGGTTTTGTTCCACAATCCATAGATTTACAAAGTACTGGTGCTAACACCAAGTACCAGAGGGTGGAAGAGATTGCAGCATGACTGGGGACAGGCTGATCCTAGAAAGGAATGCGAACGTGTGAGGTAAAGGGGTGACATAGAGGGATACAAAGAAGTACCTTGGTGTTGATTTGGGGATCAAAATGCTGGGTAGATAGTCGTTGCTGACTGAAATGCATTTGTCTTTCTGAAAAGTAGACTTCAGTTTGTGAATCTGGACTAGTGTGCGTGCTCAAGGGTAATAGGAGCAGCAGCGGAGTTTGTGTACAGTGAACATGAAATGTGTAAGAAGTCTTGTGCTCTTTTTGGAAAAATATTAATCCAAAATTTTGAAAGGCTAAACCACACTTTTTTTAAAGAATATGAGAGGAAGCATTCTCCAAGAAGTGTAGACACCATCTGCAGTGTTAATGTGCGTACACTTCCCATGTGGGTTTGAGCAACACAGACTCCAGCTATTTAATACGTGCTTTTGAAAAATTGCTTTCAGGATGATTTTTAGTTATTTTATGAAATAACCTGAATTTCAGGCTTTCTGCCATACGGGCTCTGGGTTTGTTTATGGGTGTGTAACACTGTATGCAAGGGACAGAAATTTTTTTTTTTTTTTGTCTGTCATTTCTCCCTTGCTTAGTTTCTATTCCAAGTGAGAGGCAGGGTGTTAGGAATAAGTACTTCCAGGAATGTAGCAGTTGACACAGGGTATGTATTTCTTTCAAACCTATGTTTTTCATGCTGACTTTGTCAGTTACCTTAAGTGATGAGCAACTGTTCGCCTAGGCTGAATATTTAGTCGGGGATGTCAATGTATTTGTTTCTTCAACTGTGTGCAAAATATCTTCTGCATAGTACCACAGTGCAGATGCTTAAATAAGTTGATAGGTGAATGTCAAAATTTTACTTGAAAACTTGTAAATGTATTCAATCAGTTGTATGAAAGGCTTTTGCTTTTGTCCATTGAAAAATACTGTGTAGGGGAAATTCTATGGCAGGCCATAATACTGTAGGTAGAAGCTAGAAAGTATTTATTTGTCTTTTGGAGTCAAAATAGCCTAAAAGGAGCTAATACTGCAAAAGAGTGGAATCATGCAGTTACCTTCCATATACTGCAAATATTTAGGTTTTTTTAAAGGAGATGGTGGAGACTCTCACCCTGAAGTGTCAGCAACTTGAAGACAGTAAATTTCTCACATTACAGTACTGGCATTTCCACATGAATAAATAATTCAAAAAAGCATATTACACCTTTCTCATAGTCCTTTTGGAAAAAATAAAATATTACCCTGACTTTATGTGCTCTAAATAAGCTTTTCCTGTTTAAAGGCCAGGGTTTCTTTTAAATACCATATTAAACAGTGTCAGATTTCAAAGTGAAGTTACTGTCAGACTTTCAATTTCACTCAGTTTTATACTTGTCTAATGAAATAAAATAACATTTTAGGATGATGAAACAGAACAACTTGTTGAGCATTACTGATCTAGCACAACTGTTGCAACATGCTCCATAAAATTTGCCGAGATTAAGTGACTGTCAGAGTAGTTGTAGAAGACAAAGGTTGGTTTGTGACTAAATGCTTCTTAATAAGTGAAGTCAGTCTACCAGGTGGAGAAGTCATGATTTGAAAACCAATCAGAATAATTAAGGTGAGACTCAAGTGAAACTTTCCCAGTGGAATTTCCCTGCCCGTGCTGTGGCAGGTGTTCATCTGCTGTGCCGAGGCGGCGAGTGGCTGGGAGCTGAGCGTATCTGCCAGGCGGCTTCACCCTCGCCTCTGCCCTCGCGCCTCCTCTGGCCGTGGCCTCCTGGCTGTCTGGGTGGGAGTTCCTGTGGACCTTCGGGCTGAATCGGCATGGCGGGTCTGGAGTGGCTGGGAGGTCTCAGGAATTTCAACAACCACTTACAGAATCTTTTGTCTTCCTGTTTCCGCAGCTTACAAAGGTGACCAGTAAAGTTCTCTGCGAGCAGCCAAAAAGCAGACAGCTCATGACTTCTGATCAGGACACTAAAGTTGTGGCTGAAACGCAGGTGCAGCAAGTACAAGAAGTGAAAGACGGTTCTCATCTAGTAAGTATTACAATTGCATATTCCCCTGGCATAAGTGTTGCATGAAATGATTTTTTAACTATGTCTTAATCAAAATTGTATCTAGGAACATTTTAAAGGACAGTTGTCTCATAGCATTGCAACATAAAATGCTAGAACAGAGCTGCTGAAGATGGCCAATTCTCCATACCAAGGAGGAGCCTCAGCTTAGGTTTTCTACAGGCCTACAGGGGATTTAAATAAACTGCAAGTTGCAACACTTTGTACACATTTAAGGGACATAACTTTTTCGATTATGCAGGAATTGTATTACTGGTCTTGAGCTAGGTTCTAGTTCACACATGAACATGTGAAGAAAATACAGGAAATACACTTGGCATGTATATGTAATTAAAAAAAGGACAAACTCATACAAATAGGAAATTGCTTTCTGTAATAGGAATTTTGCTCAGTCGGTTCTGCCAAATGGCACGTGCTGCTGTTCCCGTGCCACTGTGCGGGATGCAGTAAGTTACTGTATGGGATGCTTTTGGCAGGTCATACAGCAGATAATACTGTGTGGATGTATGTTATGGTAAATTCAACATGCGTATTAAGGAAGATTGAATTCCCGATTTGTGTCTAAGCTCTACTCTTATCGTATTTTCATCTTTGATTGTTAACTATATGTTGGAAGGAATATTTCCTCAGGACATCTTGAAGGGTTTGGTTTATGTTCTGTTGGGCACTTAGCCTGTGCTATGCTAAGCAGCTGATGCTTGCTGCTTCAACTTACCTTGCAGCAAGCACTAAGGAGCATTCTGAAAAACACTCCAAACTTGCACTTTGCTTTACTAAGCAAGCTGGTGGGTTTTTTGTTTCCCTCTCCCCGCTCTGTTTTATTCTGGGTTCTTTTCTGCTCTGTTTTACATTTCTAAGATGTGAATTTTGTCTGTTTGACAGTAGGGGAAAAAGTCGAACCTGATTTTGTGCCATACTTTTGGAAGTTGGGCTTTTTTCATTTTAATTTCCCTGTACTCGAGGCATTAATTCCCAGAAAGCATTGTGTAAGCTTCAGTAAGAAGCTTTTGAAGCAAATCTGCAAGAGCCTGCAACTGTCAGTGTGCTTTCAGCAGGTGCATTAGCTGTAAAAGTTTGATTAGTCTTCATGTTGATGCTCGTTCTTTTAATTTAGTATGCTGTAAGTTTTATAAAACTACACATAAACTTAGATCTAAATCTTCATTTCTGTTCTTCCATGCTTATTTGGAGAAAGTGTAACCATTTCTTTCCATTTCAGAAAATGTCTGCTCTTTTCTTTAATAGAAAAGAATACTGTCAGTTTGGAGATCTTTGGGATGTAGCTATAGTCCTATAATGGTGCATTTCAAATAACTGATTTTTTAGGTTAAAGGTTTTCCTTTGAGTATTTCCAAGAAGACCTGTAGCTTATTAAGCTTTTTAAAGTTACACCAGGATCATACACTTATGTACAGCATCGAAAGATCATTTTGTTGTATGAGAATCATTGCCAATATGCTGTTAGAAGTGTTGCTGTCACGATAGTCCCTTCCATAATGGCATTCTTGCATGAGTATATTTTGCAAGTGCTTCAGGACTTCACTTGCAAGTTTTGGAAACAAGGCTGTAATTTGAGAAAAACTTCATGGAGTAGAAGAAGTTAGCAAACTAGATTGAGATGTTTTCATCTTTCCAAAAATGTGATAGGAAGGGGGAAAAATTCTGTTGTTCTGACTCGATTGCATTTTGCTAGTACATGTTTGATGTTAAATGGAAATCACCTGCTGTTTCTTGTGTGTCTTAATGATTTAGAGGTCAGAGGGCTAGACTGCATCAAGGTACAGATTCATGTCTGTGGTAATCCCTGCTTCAGTGTGTATTTGACATGGGGCTGTGGTATCTAGGGAGATTTCTATGAGTCTTTCTTTAATAGACTTAAATTTGATGAATTACATTTCCTAGCTATTTTGGCTATGCTGTTGTATTAGGATCTGGTGATACCTAGTCTGCATGCTTTTGTGGCAGTCCTGGAAGAAAGCTGTAGAATTTCTAATGGAAGTTTTGATACATATCTGTAGATACTGGAAAAATAACTCCCTGTATGCTAGTTTTAATTTTGAAGTGATTAAAGATACAAGAAAAAATACTTTAAATATTAAAAATAAATACATCTTCCGGTTATTACTTTAGACAGTCTGCTTTCTTTGACAGAAACAAAAAATAGCATTCATTCAATTATTAGTAATGTTGAATAGATAGTCAGTAATGACTGCATTAAAATGAAAGTTCTGATGTTGTGATGGAACCCCTCAGAAATCACTAACGTTAATGATACAGAGGCCACTTGTTTACTGACGGTTCTCAAGGGCTCTTCTCATGGTGAGAGAGGCAAAGTCATTTCTTCTGCCTTAAGTAACTAAAAGTATATGCTATTTATTGCCTAATGTAGATGGATTGCAAGCCTAGTACGGTTCATTTCCAACAACAGCTTCTTTTGAATTTGGCTTATTTTAGTAGTATTAACCAGCAGAATTTAAGTGGTTTTGCACGCAGCTTGATTGAAGGGAGTTGGCAACTTGAGGATCCTCATAAATTTCTTGTTAATAGTGGCTTACTCTTAGGAGTTGGAGGTAGATAATTTGAAGGATACTAGCAAATTCATAGCTTTGATAAATTTGGCAGATAAATATGATGGTATCTCTGGCTTTTTTAGCCTAGATCCAGACTGTCACTTCAGCTGAGATCTGTCATTGAGTTGGGCTTTTATTTGTATGCTGATTGACAGTTACTCTTCCTGAAAATGCCCTCGTCTTACTGGACCCAGGAAGATCCATGTTTAAGAAATTCTCCCTTTTGTCTCACTTCTGTTTCCTTTTCAATGAGTAACACTTTGTTGCTAGAAATTTGGTGTTGGGGAAGATATCCTGTGTAACAGTTTACTGAAAACTGTGTAAGATACAATCCTCAGACCATTTGCCAGTAACACATTATTAAATAGAGTATGTGCCAATTAAGTGTTAAGTAGCAGTGTGTAGAACATTTAGGTAATTTTAAATAACTCAAGAGGTCATGAATAGCTTTAAACGAGAGATGGGAGGGAGTAGACCTTAAACTGAACATGTAGAATATCAGCATCGTGGGAGAGCAATACTGCTGTGTTCACTTGGTCACATTACTGTAGATTTAGAGCATAAGAAAAGTGTTGAATAGTTCTGCAACTGTAGATGACTTCTAATGCTAATTTTTAATTTTTTTAATGTGTAAAAATGTGTATTTAAACTCTTAATGTAATAATACCCTAATCTTAATACCTTGATGCAATCTGATAATTTGTTTTCAAAAACTGGCAGTATTGATGTTGTGGTGTGTGTTCTGATGCTGCTTGTCTCTTTTTCCCCTAACTGGTAGTGGCTGTGACATCAGATATGGCCTCAGAGTGCAGGATGACTGTTTCTTCAGGACTAGTTATAGTTGTGGGGCTTTGTTATAGAAAAAGAATAGTTAAGTCAGATGTCAGGTTATAAGGACTGTTTTAACTTGGGCTATTGTAACTTTAAAGCTAGACTGTATTTTAAAACTTAGGTCTGTAAGACTATATGTGGGATTAACCCTTACTGCTTGACAAGGAATAGGCATATGTAGAAAAGAGATGGGCAGGTATACTGTTCATAGTGTGTTGACTTCTTGCCTTCTGTGTAGGTGTGTGCAGCATACAGAGCTAAAATACTTATTTTAAAAAATAATTGTTCCAATTATGAATATGCTGCTTTGGAGCAGTTTGGTTTCATAGAGAAGGAAAAATTATTTAGGCTTTGGGTAGATGAGAGATATACCAGAGCCAAAATATGTTTGTATAACGGAGAAGAAAAAAAACCAAACCACCTCCTGGCTGGGCTGTAAAGCAGCAGAGCATAAATTTTGTTGGTGCTTTTCAAGTGAAGTGGCAGTGTTCAGCTTAGCCCGAAGACTTTCAGACTTACCAAATCTTGGAAGTTAAACAACCAACATCAGGTGATGTGGCATAAGCGTAGCATTTTTTTCTTTAAATTTATGTTGCTGTGGTGTTTTTAAGTGATTCCACAATAAACAGCATTGAGAAATGTGACTTAAAGAATGTGCACTATAGGTGTTTAGAAATTATCCCTGGAACTTTTAGATAAAACCAAAGGAACGAGTACAAAATGTACCTTTCTGCATAAGGAGAAGGCTGTGGGAAAACTGGAAGAGGTTTCTGCTTGCCTAAACTGCTTCACTCATTTTTTCTCCCCATTAGTTGATAGCAGAAGTGCTTGTTAAGGCACTGGAAAAGTGGACTTTGCCCTAGTCTGTTTCTTAAAGGCATTTAGTTCCTTTCTTGAAAGCACATAGTAATGGTTAAATCAGAGGGAAAAAAATCTTGCTATTTGTTTAACCGAGGAGGGAGTTTTCTGAATGGCTGTAAACTTTGCAAGTATTACTGTGATTTTATTCTGACGTCAAAAGCAGTTGAATTGTTTGCTTATGACACTTCTTCAAAAAAAAGAAACTATTCTAAGTAACTCCCTCCCCCTTTCCCTGTACTTGGTTCCAGGGAATGCTGAAGAGGGGAGTGCCTTGGCATAGTTTTCAGTCCAGATTCAAGCACGTTGAATAACTTTGTCCCCTGGGAGAATTAAAGAAAATACAGCAGATGGCAGCAATGATGCACCAGTCTTCCTGTCCTTAAGAACAGTCTATCTGCAGGCACTTTGAGACTTCATCTACTGGATAAGCTGGGGAGGCAGGGTACTCTTCCTTTTTTCTTTCACAGCAGGCTTGCTGAGGAGGGGATATGCCCTAGCCAACTCAGACATCTTTTTTATGGTCAGGGATTAGTGTTGAGTAGGTTTCCCCTGAAAGTCAGCCAGTATGGTTCTTCAGCATATACAAATCTGAGTCTGCCTATAGTATTGAAATTTATACAACATTTAAATACATGATAACCTGTCTTTAAGAATCTAAAACACTTTTTTTTGAGATGCATTTGTCCTGTGAGCAGGATA